GATTTTAGTCTGATATCTTCTTCCTTCAGAGAATATGAGTTAATTTAAAAGGACTGCCTTTCATTTATCCTAAAACAAGCTAAGTTTTAGTTCAAAATGAAAAGTATAACAAATCGACTGTTTTAACAAATGAATGAAATTAACTAAATCCGTTGTAACTGTTCAGCGCCTAACTTAGTTGAAGATTAATAAAATACCTATTGCTAAGCCTATTTGCGCATTTTACGATGGCAATAAATAAAATCCTTTACACATTATTAAGTAAAAAGTATTTTGGAGGCCGATATGGTTTGAAATATCTATATGCCTTCCACTGTTAATGAAAATAAAATAATTAATTAATAATTTGCAAATAATAAATATAATGGATTAGTCTGGATTGATACTCTGTCTCATTTTTATAACTTATTCGTTAAAATTAGCGAATATATAATTATCTTTGGCAATAAGCGGCACTCAAATTTGTAGCGGATTGCTACCTTAGTAAAGCCTGACCAACTCAGAAATCTCTATGGCAGATTCTCCAACATCTAGCTAGACTCCCAGAACCAGCTAAGCTATAGCCCAGCTATAAAGGAAGCAGACGTGCAGCACGGAGCGCGTTCACTCAGGACGTATATTACGGATCAAGTGTGTACATACAGGGAGCTACTCATGATAAGGATGGGGGATTAGGTTAAACAGACGTTGATGATTGGTCACTGTTTGTACGGTCGCTGCACACAGAGTTGTACGGCCGCACCTCACAATCCTGGCGAGCAGACATGCAGGCATACGATGACGCACAACGGGATATCGTGTCCCACAAGTTTGAATGACCGGGGAAATAGGAGATTTGCAATTTTTCAACTAATTGAAGTAGGTTTTATGTTGTCAGGTAAATTGGTGTGGTAGCATGTCTTAACGCACCACAGTGTGTCATGGTAGTCTAAGCATTTTTCATCTATCGATCAAACTAAAGACGGTCATAAGACATGATATCCCAAAACGCGATTTAAGTCCATATCGAACAAAGCTATCATGATTAGTTGCCCTTTATGATAACAGCCTTACCTAATACACGGACATAATAAAATAAAATGGAAATAGAAACAAATAGGACTAAATTTTTGCCTTCTTCGTAATTAAACATTGCGTATGGCCTTTTGAAAAAATTTCATTTTGAAAAGCGAAATTTAAATTTAGAATCACTAAAGGGCTTGTGTACTCAATGAGAATTATAAATATAGATAAATAAGTAGCAAGTGATTAACAGAAAATTTATATTTGAACGGTAGTTCAAATAGTAAAAAAAATAAGTAAAATTATCAAATATCAATTTAAAATCAAGACATCTCCTGATGAATGGATGAATCGAGAATGCCATAAATTGAAGTTGAAGCAATTATAACTGAATGCATTGTTTAATTAACGCTCAGTGGGGCTATCTTGATCGTCATTACATGGCAACCTTGAAGAAGCTCTTTGATTCCACACGGAGTTAGCAATTTTGATGGAACACCTTGTATAGAAAGGACTCTGTCATGGGAATGAAGAACAAACGGAGCGTTTTGACATTGCAATTCACCAGTTTGTTTACTTATATAGTAACCATTATCATCAGAATTAAAGAAGACTCCAAATCTATGATAAGGCGACTGACGTTTAAACTGAATGATATACGTTCCATCTGAGCTTTTCTCTACTAAAACGATATCAACATCACACACTTGTGAAGGTTGTGTTGCGTTATTGGCGACCGATGAACGTGAGCATTCAGATGGAACATCGCTGGAAAAGTACTGAGAAGTATCACTTAAAATTTTTGACTGGTTTCGTTTTTCGAGTTTCTTATTGAAAGCGAGTACCAAACTATCCCGAATTCTAAAACTAGAGAGACTTTCTGCAGTTGAGGTTGAAGAAGATTTGATAATTGGCATATGGAGTTTACCCGATCGCAATGGACTCGAGTGTTTCATACTTGAGGGGAGTTCGTCTGAAGTGAGATACTCGGATTGACTGTCTGCTGGCACCGAGATGCTAGAGGACTTGCAAGAGCTTCTTTTACGTGGTGGATTAATGAGAACGGGATAGAAAACTTTTTCTCTGTTGCTTGGTTCTGTCTCAGTAGACCTTGTATTTGACTTTACTCTTCCATGTACAGGACAAAATTTTTGATGCCGGTGTTTGCAGCGGTGTTTCTTTGCTGTACTTTTAACATCCTCGTCATTGGATTTCGAATTCGAAGTCTGCTGCCTGGTTCTACTTCTGCTGGAATGAGTCATTCGAGCAAAGAGCTTTGATGCTCTTCTATAAACATTAACAAGTGATCGGGCATTTTTAGCCGGTTCAGGTGTTCTAGTAGCTTGCATTTCATAAATAATCTAGTAACTCTTCAAAAAGTTGGCAAACCGTATTTCAAGAGAATAGAATGAACTGTGTTCATAAAACCTGAGCGTTGGTCAAAATCAAAGCAGTTATTTATAAATCATTTAATAAAATATAAATCAAAACAATAAGGCCATCCCAAAATTTAAAGCATTTTAACATCAAAATATTATATAATAATTTATAGTACTTTCACAACTAAGATACAAAACCTTCATTTACTATTATGAAAACAAAAATGAAGATTTATTTGTAAAGATTAGCTTAAAAAATTATTGCCATTATAAACATTAAAGAATGAATTTCTTATTTAATGAAACTTTAAATGTTTCATCGAAAGGCGGGTCTTTGGACTTAGCTTATTTTTTCTCAGCGGTAAAGGATTCATTTAATATGGCGCTTTTTCGTTGTCTGAATTTTTCCTTGCCAAACTTGGTCAATATATCGGCCAGGTGTATCGTTTCTAAGACACCTCCAAAGAAGATGACGTTGGAATTGCGTCGTGCTTTATTAGACGATGCTGACCCTCATTACAGAACTCGAATTCATGATTCAACCTATGAAGTTTGTCTAGTTATCCCTTTTATATTTTTTTTGCAACTACATAGTTAAATATTTTGTGGTGGAAATTTAGGCACGGGAGATTATGAAGAAAGCACCCAATGCATCGATCACTGACACAGTTGTCGTACCTGAAAAGACTGATATCACTCCTCTCTCCAATATTCCATTGGAACAACTTGAAACTCGCACTGTTCGTATCTACATGCCCAGTAAATCGGCAACCCAATCGGGTACATACAGTTCAAATAAGTGGCGTCTTGAGGTAAATAACCAGCAACGTTGGGAAAACCCTCTTATGGGATGGGCCAGTACTGGTGATCCTCTCTCCAATTTCGTTATGGATTTCCATGATGCTGAATCAGCGATTGCATACTGCAAGGATCAAGGATGGAAGTACTTTGTTGAGGAGCCGAAAAAGACGGTCGTTAGGCCAAAGAGTTACGCTGTCAACTTCTCTTGGGATAAACGTACCCGCCGCTCGTGCAAATAAAATGATGACTTTAATCAACCTCTCTATTACAAACTGTTAGCTTAATTTATATCGTTGCAATTATTTTGGATGTAAATAAAAGCATCGAGGTTGTATCTTAGTTCTTTTTCCTATTTACCTTTGGAAATCTTGTTAAATGTTGTGATGCAATTTTTTCAGACATAGCTCGAAATGCCATTGTTAAATTCGGTGACCATGACGAGAAGTCGTCGATCAAATGCAGGCTCGCGGATGGCTCGACTGTTGAATGAAGAGGAAGAAGACGACTTTTATCAGAGTGCCTATGGAGGTTTCGCTGAGGTAATTTTTTGCCAAGATGTTCGTATTTCTTAAATTCGCATAATCATCTGAACTACTATCTGTATTGATAAGCATAATGGCGATTAAAGGAGAGAATCCAAAATACCATTTTTGACCAAATATGTCACATGAGTTAGTAGTCAAATGATTGTCATCAACCAATTCGATGTTCTAATATTGGTTGACCCAGAGGTGATTGACAGAGCTCCAGAACAGTATCCGATGCTTTCTTATGCTTTCAATTATGAGAGAGATGCGTTTCAGATTCATTTGTGGGATTGAATGTACTTTCCTTTGATCGGAGTCTCAAGTTATCACCTTTTCATAAGCCACCAACTCTGTCCTGATTTGGCCTTGAAAGATAATATGAGCGAATTTGTTGAAGACTCGGAGAAGTGTTATAATCATAAATTAAATCTAGCTAAATAAAGTGATTTATTTAAAAAGGATTTTTCTTTGGTATATTTGAACAACGAGTGTGTGGTTGCCCTTCTCTCTTTTGTAGGAAGAAAATGACAATGATTATGAATCCGAGAGTTCCGGGCGCGATTCAATCGACACTGACTTTGTTGACACTGAAGAAGAGGATGAAGATGAAGGGAGTGCAAACGATGTCTTGGATGAAGAAAAGCGCAAAAAACGAACTAGACGAGTAATTACTAAGAGCTACAAGGTAAGTGGGGGAGATTATAATTAATGCTGGTGTTTACTGACACTACTGAAATGAAATTAAATAGGTTGTGTAACTTATTTTCCCTTTAGGAACCAAAGGCCAAAAAGGGGGCTACTGAGAAACCAAAGACAGAATCGAGATCAAGAAATCGTGTAGCAACATCTGGAACAGAAAATAACGAAAATTCAGCAGATGCTGTTGGTAAGCTAAATACTTTTTTAATTATTCTTCTTGGTAAACCGTGACTTGATTTGATACTTGTTTATAAAGCACGTTGTTTCTATGATTTCATTACGATAGGTTTGTCAAAATTTATCTCACGATAAAGCGATTAAAATGCAAATGATTTTATAAATAGCTATGCGGATATTCTGTTATTTAAAATTGAAACAGGTAATTAAAGCGCTTGTTCTTTTATTTCAGAGGCTCGAAAATTGCGAGCCAGTACAGTTCGTGCCACTGAAACCGCGCTACAGCGTCGAAAGCAACAGGGACCCAACTCAGAAGTTACAGCAGTAAAACGGAAAGCGCTTCTGGCTGAAATCGCTCAGCGCAAAAATGTCGCTGAAGTGCGTCGATTAACACAAGAAGAGCTCCTAGCTGAAGCTAAAATTACAGAGGAAATAAATAAGAGATCCTTGGGTAAATTGTACTTGCTTTTTAGTGCCTATCATTTAAAGGTCCCCTTAATGACGATGATGATGTTGACCCATAGCCTTTACACGTCATACGTTTTTCTCTCCACTCGTTCTTTCCCAGTTCAAGGAAAAAGTACGCCAGTTATTTTGTAATTCTGGCAAATTGTCACCCATTTTTCACCCGGAAATGCTAATTTATTTTCAGGGTGTGAACAGGCAAATAGTGGGCATTCTTTAAAGACATTTGGAGACTGTAAATACGAGCTAGTGAATGTAAACAACTGACTTGTTATGCGTTCTCCATTAATGTTAGCGTCAAAGACTAAATCGTCAAATAAGTGCCCCACTTATTTGTTGTCTAAGTTGTATTATCCACTAAATTTCAGCCCGCTATCAACGTATGGAAATCGAGCGTAAAAAGATTCGTGTTCAAAAGACCGTATCCCAACAGCCAATGATTCGTACCCACAGTTTCACTGTTCCATCTCTTACCGATCAGCCTGAAGTGTATAATGTTACAGTCAACTCTGAAAAGTGAGTGCTTTTATCATCTGTCCTTGTTCCTATGAACAGTTATTTCAGGTGATTTTATTTATAGCGACGTTGAAATGCGACAAATGCTTGTCGATCAATCTGCTAAATGCGCCCGAACTCTTGTCTCTTTTGCTGACGAGGCAACTTTTGCAGCGGCTTTTCCTTCAGCGGTTTCAAACACCGGCTCTAAGTCCTCAGCTCCAGGTCGAAAAAAACGCGTTAAACACTGTCCAATCACCGGAAAAGTTGCCCGGTACTTGGACCCTCTCACCCGTACTCCTTATGCTGATCTAGCCGCTTTCAGAGCCCTCAGACACCTCTATCGAATGCACCTGGAGACTGGTTCCTCAGCATCTGAACTGCTTCGACGTTTACGAGCAGGAGAGCTGAGACTTGGAGGTCCTACTGAAGATGGAATGCAGGCGGAGACCTGTTAAAGCATTTTATATATCCAATTTTGTGTCTTTTTCAATATCTAATTTTATTTTGTAAATCCGTCTTCTTGTTATTGAACTGAGTTGTGCTGATGCGCCTTTACACAAGGGTTTTGAAGTTCATTTTCTTTAGTTCTTTAATGGTAACGGAAGCAGGAGAATTGGTTGAGCTAGTTGAGTCTGGACTTCACAAGGAGTATCCCGAAGTCTTTTTGGAATGCGCCCTCCATAATCTGCGGACGCTCTGCATACCTGATTTCGAAATCCTCAAATCTCTTTACACCCCAGAATCCAAGTCCCTGAATCTATTCCAACATGCGACTAATATTCTGTTGAAACAGAGGTCTGCTTTTATGAAAATGCTTCAATGGTTGCATTGTGTTCAGAGTAATACTCAAACATTGCAGGTGCTCATGTCTGAGCACTTTGAAGTCTCGCCTTTTTCTGATTTGAAAATTTCTGTTATTGGAGGCCTCTTCACTCCCGATGTTTACAAAGTTATCGAGCCGTATCTCTATTCTTACCTTTTACTGGAACTCATATCTGCTGAAAGGGAAGTTCCAGCGGAGTATAACTGCTTTAAGGAGTCTAAAACTACTGCTGAATTGTTAAAAGATGAATCTATTGGCAACCTCGTGGAAGTTTGTCATGAACTGTTCTCTCCAAAAGCTTCGTTTTCACTGCTATTCCTACTTGAAAACTTGGTTGTTTCATTTGCTGAGGCAGCTTTTATTTATAAGACCAGGGAACTTATAGGTGGTTGTTATACCAAGTCCTTTCTTGAATCCCTGAAGCTCTATGAAGAGAAGGTAATGAGAGAAACCTGGCTCCCACGTGTTCTTGATCATTCTGGTTCATCTTCTGTCCCTTGGAATGCGCATCTCGTATATTCTACCTATTATGAAGTCCGACGTCCGGAGTTATTCTCCATCTTAATAGATTATCCGCAATCTCATCCTTCTGTAATGGATTTGAAAACCTATCTGATGGGAACTCGATGTCTTCAAAATCTCATTGACCCTTTAAGTAAGGAGATTTCCTCTAAGCTTCTCCAACCCGGTGTCCATACAGATGAAGTATTGCTGGTCTACGGGAGTTTGGTAAGAAGTCTGAGAGAAATTGATCCTTCTTCGGTAGCACAGGATATCATTTGCTCACCAGTGGCTTCGTATCTTCGGGAAAGGGAGGATGCTGTGAGGTGTATTGTCGATCGTCTGATTGCCCCAGCATCGGATGAGGAAAGTGGTGTGGAATCAGATCAATTGTTGGGGCTTCAGAAAGAACTTCTTTTGCCTGCTCCTCTGGAAGTCGAACCAGCAGACGAAACTAGGGACTGTGATGCGCATCTTGTATTTCATGGTGGGTTATTCATTGATTATTTGATTCTTTCTTTTCTTCTTACTTATGACTTATTATTACCCACTTTTGTATGCCGCTTTGCTTCCCATTTCTTCTGAAGTATGCAAATAGTCTAATTGACCGAAACTTCATATCTAAGATCTGGTTTGGACGCGAGCTATAGTTTTCGATACAATATTTCCGATAAGGAAAATGGCAAACTAAACAATTTCAGTCTCATCACTAAGATTTGTACGAAGCGCCAGATGTAGTTAAGACATCTTTTTTTTCCACTAAAGTCTTCATTCCTTTCGCTTTCAAGAGCGTTTGACAGATGGATGCTGGATGGATGGATTGTTTTTTATGGAGGTTATCAGAACAATCTAATAACCTATTGTTATAACGGTCAAGTGGAGTTGGGAGCTTTATCTTAATAGGGTCGGTTTAACTTTGAGAAGAGTTTATGAACATTTTTTTTTCACTTGTCACTAAAATTTCTGCCATTCTTTGTCTTGCAGCACTATATTACTGTTTATACTTCTGCTTTTCTGCAATCATTTGATGCTTTTCAGGACGCCTCAAAGTGCTCCCCTTGGATGTAGTAGTTCCTGTTTTGGCAGCTTAACTGTCTTTGTAACGAGTGCATCTACTGGACATTAGCTTATCTGTCGTTGGGCATTAACTTATATTGCTATTCCTTAAGATAGGCAACAGAGTAGAATGCTAATTCGCTGAAAAACGGATTTCTTTAATCAGTGAACGCTTTTCATTCCTTGGACACCCGGTTCTTTCATACTCATTCTACCCACAAAATGCGTTACTCATGTCTACTCTCTTGATTTACACATCTTCTGCTTTCCTGGTTGGGCCTGGACAACTTTTGCTATGATTTTGCTTTCTAATGGAACATGATCAGCACTTCCTTTTGTTGACGATTCCTATCCCCACACAAGTCTGCCGAATATTTACTCCCTTCCGCCTACTAACTGAGGTGTCAGTCTCAATGCAGCCAAAAATTGAAGAAAGGAGCAGATTTCTTAAATCCAATAACTTAATTATATAAGGTGAACTCTTTTGCAAAAGCTTATTCATATAAGTAAATTTTCTTGGGCCCAATCCGTGGAGCAAATTTTATTTAGGACACAAGAAGTTTGGTAATTCGAGAGAATTCAACAAATATCATGAAAGGTACTTTAGCCTCAATGAGCACCTTGCAGCATTTGAGAATATCGCTACATTGGATATTAGCCTTCCTTGGAATATTTTATTAGATGTTACGTCTGTGCTTATCCTTCATGTCATCCTACCTACTTCAGATCCCGATGAATGTTTTCCCCAAGAAGTGTGGGCAGTTGAAGGTGATCCTGAACAGGCCTTCCCTGAGGAATCCTGTCCAGTTAATAGTGACTGGGATCGATGGATGCCTGACCCACTGGAAGCTCTTCACCACACCGGTCCACCGTGGAAACGTCGGATTGACTTGCTGAGTCTCCTCGTTGGTGGTATCTATGGTAGCAAGAGATCCTTCCTAACAGAATATCGGGCTTTGTTGAGTCAGCGGTTGCTGAAACAGCTCAATTTTGATATAGTCGCGGGAAAGAAGCATTTGCAGCTGTTGAAAATGAGGTTTGGAGAAGTGGATATGCAAGAGTGTGAGGTAGGCTATTTTCTTTTCTATATTAGGACTATAATGTATATTTGTAAAAATGCGCGATTTCGGATCTGAAGTGCACACATAAAACATTACGTTAGTTTGTTTGAGCAATTTTCTTGCTCATTTGGCAGTTTGGTGACCATGGATTTGGTACCCATTTCAATACAGTCAAACTCTTTGAAATTACCTTTCTACATTGTTTACAATCATTTTCCGAAAAGATTTGATATTATGAGCCAATGTGGTTGTTCTATCACTCAGCGCTCTTTGACAGGGGGCCTATTTGCTCTAACGATCTGTCCGTGGAAGAATGCGAAGGAGATAACGTCCACTTTCACTGAGTATATCTCATGCCCATCGTAAATTTGTTTCTCTATGGGCTATTGCAGTTACTGGCATATTTCTAATTACTTAGTAGTAACATTCTTGAATGCATGCAAGAATAAGTACAGTCTACAATGTCTGATTATTCTTTCAGATAATGTTGCAAGATATTCGTGAATCCAAACGAATTAGTTATCAAATAGCCGAAGAGTTGAAAGGTGAAACCGCTTCCAAAGATCCTGATCTTGAAGATTCCGTTGAATACTTCCAACTGCAAGCATACATTCTCTCTGGTGAATACTGGCCCGAATTCCACAATGAACGATTCAAATTGCCCGATGGTTTGACGCCAACATTCACGAGATTCACTAAGTGAGTTTGACGTTCTTATTTTCATTGCTATTGTTGTATAAAGACGGAATAGGAATTTAGGGAAAAGTCTATACAAATACTTTTCTCAAAAATAGTGATGTAAGTGTTTGATGAGCCTACATTTCTCTTTTAATTTAGCGTTCTTTATATTTTCCTTGTAGGAGATACGAAAAAGTGAAGCTTAATCGGACAATAAATTGGATGTTTAAATTGGGTATGGTCAATGTGAGTCTTGATATCGGTGGTGAAACTGTCACTGTCGACGTTAGTCCCGTCCAGGCTGCAATTCTTCATCTTTTCACACTCAAACCCCGCTGGACAGTCAATGACATTGGGCAGGTATACTTATTTGATTAATATAACACTATATGAGCATTAAAAATGAAGCAATATTTAGAACAACGTTGACAACGACGGAAATCCAGAGATACTGGGAAGCCAGAAGGCAGCTAATGATCGGCCATTAAATAACTGCTATATATGTAACCCACCCCCCCACCCATGGAGAAAGCTGAAGTCAACTAAAGGGCTAATGATAAATATCATAAAGACTGCCATTTGAAATAATAATAATAATAATTATTATATTTAGAAAAACGTCATTGGCATCAGAGCCTAAGTTATTTATATTCCAGGGCTCTTCTATATATTACTATCGTGCAAGCTTATGCCTTGGTATCTTTGCTACTGCGAATTAATTAATTTATTTCAAATGGCAGGCGTTTTGATAGCTATCATTAGCCAGTTAGCTGACTTCTGGCTTCACAGAGGGAAGGTTCATCAAAGTAGAAGAAAGTCGAGGGGTAGGGAACAGAAGAGCGGTTCACAGATGTAAAAGAGGCAGACAGACACAAAGGTAGAGAAAACGGTAAGATGAGTACTGCGGAAGGGGTCGAATATGACAAGCAGTCGGGCCATGGTAGTTTGAAGTCAGAAGTAAACTGTCGGTTAACAAACTTTTTGCCGTATGAGTATACGTTGCCCAGGGCGCACCACGTGGAGGTAAGTCTATCGCACACCCATTGTGTCCAACCATTTCCTCCCAACCCATGCAGAGAAATAAGTAGTCTAATTTTTATAACCATGAATATGTCTTTGCTAAATTAATTGGGATGGATGGAGTATGAT